CACGTATAACTTGTTTTTGACCGATAAAACATTTCCCGTTGGTTTCATCCCATCCCGATTTTGACTGTCGCATGGTGTAATTAGCACAACGACAGCAATGTTAATAGCGATAAGCGATATTTAAATAGCAAATATCGATAACTTAATCGATAAAAACTATAAAAAAATTATATGTGAAACATCGAGAAAAATATTGGTATCGCAAAAAATACCGATAGCCTTAGCAATAATTTAACCGACTGCGATATAGGTTGGGATATCAATGACCATGCGTATACCGATTTGATATCGACCTATAGATAACATGATTTATAAACTGCATCAATAACAATAATTTATAATGATATCAATAGTGAAGTTTATAGCAAATAAACGATACGTCAATCGTAGATTTCGATAAACAAAAACCAGCGATAAAAAATTGAAAAAAAAAATCTAATTTATACCAAAAAAATTATCTATAATGTGGACAATTATTAACTCAACAACGGTTCTGGTAGCGATATGAATAACCTGAAAGACAAATATAAACAACTTAACTGATAAATCGCCGATAAATAGTCGTTAAAAAACACGATAACGTGTAAAACCTAAACTAACGATAACAATAATTATAACACCACTAATACATAGCCATATACTCGCATGTTCGCAGATAGCCATTCTATATCAATAACTTAACAGATAAAAACTGGAAAAAGTAATCGATGACAAAGTAAATAAAAAATATCAATAACATAAAGTTTATCGATAACGATAATATAACACAACGCGAAATAGTAAACATTATCGATCAATAAATCACTAAAGCGACAGCAATAGAAATGATAACACAACTAATAGCCGGGACATAATCGATAACGAAATAAAAATATTGTGAAGTATATCGAAGAAAATATTATAACTACATACATATGGCTGTTTCCATGAAAATGTAAACCGAAAATGCAAGCAAATTGGTTCAAACGAAAAGAGGTTACGAAAACGCGAAATGGTGGAGAGAAAAACTTAAAAAAATAAATAAATAAAAAATTTAATTATATACATATGTATTATTAGACAATATTGTATGGAGGAAAAATCTGTCACTTCCGATTTGTCACGTCTGTTATCACATCTAAAATAGAAAAGTAAACCCACAACAAATCGCTTCTGTTGAAATATGAATTTTAATGGTCCGTAATTTGACTTTATTTAAAAAATTTTGAAGAAAGGGAATTTTTCTAAAAAATCTGAATAAAAAGTTGCAAATTAGTGTGCAAATTTAATGGATTTTCCTGAGTTTTGCACAAAGTTTAGAGATTTTATTTTTATGTTTTTTGGTGTAAACTGGACTATATTTTTATAAAAAATTACCGAAAACAAATTAGAATAAAAAATTTTGTATATATTGCGAAAAATTCACTATGCCAATACTTTTGTTCGTCACTGTATATGTATGCATGTCTACTTGACTATACAGAATGAAGAGAGCTAGAGATTGAGCCATGACTGTCCTACCGTCTCTTGATGCTATTGAGCCATACAAATTCTTTGTCATTCAATGCCTAGTGGAAATTTGGCATTACACAATCGTCCACTTTTGTCTACTTTTTAGCTAAAATACCTTAACGAGCAGTGTGCAAAGGCTATATTACTTTCTCACGTTAGGCAGAAGCTGCTCACTTCTTAACTTACATAAGCTAAAGAATTTAGAATTGTTAACGAAGAATTTTTGTCTTGTTGCTATGGGCAGAGCGTATGCAAATGAGATTTTACTTTTCTCACTTTTATTTTTTTTTTTTGGGGAATTCTTAATTACGTGCTATAAATCAAAGGCTGTTGTTGTTGTCACGCTGATTCTCAGTGAAATTCTGGGAATGATTATCTATTCGTATTTCCATTAGGTATTCAATCAAGGCGAGGGATAAGATAAATCTTGGCTAGCTTACGAACTTATTTACATATTAAAATGTATTTACGTGTTTGTTTATTCGTCTCGGCAGCATTGAAAGATGACTTGAGGCTTGAATAGAGATAGTAGCAGGCTGATAAGGAAAACGAAGCAGAGAAATGACATGCGAAAAGAATTAAAGTGGGAATCAAAAAAGACAAAAATAAATAAAAAATTATAATGAAAAAATAGAAACACAGCTAAATAGAAATTCCGCAAATGAGATTAAAAAGTGAGTCAAAATAAACTGATATTGAAATGCAAAGTAAAGAGTGTGCAAAATGGCAAAATGAAAAAAAATAATAAAAATTCTTAGAAAAATAACCAGCGTTCGACAATTTCAAAAACGTGGCAACAAAAAAGAAAATCCTCATCCGAAAAAATCGACGTGAACGAAAACACAATGAACTGAAACCCAAGCCAGGATAAACGAAAACAAAAAGAAACAGCCAGCGAGGGAAAAAGGTGAAAGCGAAACGCGCCAACACACCACCACCCACACAAATAAACAAAACAAACACGCGCGCAACGACAAAATTTCAAACTCAATGAACGAGAAATTATCACTGCCAGCAGCCGCAGCCACACCCATAGAACAGCTGCAGCAACAACAACAACAACAACACGCGAATTCCAGCATTTGTGCGACCATTGACCATGCGGATTATCACTATGAATCAACGCTGCCAGCAGCAACAGCCTCAACAGCCCCAACAGCAACAAAAACAACTGCATACAAACACGAAAGCAACAGTACGAGTAATAATGCCAAAGCGTGTGGAATTGATGTGGGCACCTATGTGGAGGGTGGTGGTGCAGTTGAAGCAGGTGGTGGAGGAGTGGTCGCTGGCAGTGAATTGTATCGTTACGCGTCGGTAGCAAGTTTAGGTGGTGGCTGTGGTAATGGTGGCGCTTCTTCAAAAATGCTCAGTGGCATGGATGCTTTCATGGCGAGCACTGGTGCGGGTACTGCTGCTGCCATCACCGCTGGTGCGCCACCACTCGTGGCACCCTCAGCAACAATTCTAAAAATTAGCAACAATAGCAGCGCCAGCGGCAGCAAAGGTAGCAACTTGAACAGTCCGCGTAGGCAGCGGCAGTTGGGTGGCGGTGGTGGTGGTGGTGCACCACAGCGCGACAATTTTTGCGGTTGCTTTGGCGGTGGAGGTGGGGTGGCAGGCAGCGACGGCAAGGGGATGGCGCACGAGGCGGACGGCGATAAGCAGCAATTGGCCGCGTTGACTTTTTGGCCTGCATTGTTTGCCAATTTGGGTATTTGTACGCTGCTGCTCGGCTATCTATTCATTGGTGAGTATAGATACATTTGGGAATGCTGTAATTTTTCGCGTGTGGCATTTTTGCGTCGTTTTTTTTTTTATTTGCGTTTGGAATTTTAAATTTTCTATCTCTGTATGTATGTATATGCATACCCAACAAGCAAAATAAACTTAAAGAAAGTTTTTTTTAAGTTTTCAATTATAAACATTAAGCTTACAAAACGTTGATTTTTTGTTTATAAAACGCTTGAAAGTAAGCGTAATATAATCGAAAAGGAACATTGGTTATAAGCGTAGAAATATAAACTTGTAATAAATGTTCAAAAGAAAGCTTTTTATAAGCGTAAATGTGTAAACTTATAATAAAGGTTCAAAAAAAGTTTTTTATAAGCGTATCAATATAAACTTGTAATAAATGTTCAAAAGAAAGCTTTTTATAAGCGTAAAAGTGTAAACTTATAATAAAGGTTCAAAAAAAGTTTTTTATAAGCGTATCAATACAAACTTACTAAAAATTTTCAAAAGAAAGCTTTTTATAAACATTTTTATAACCCTTTATTTAAAGATATTTCATTAAAAACTCATACATAGATTGCTTAACATCTAGAAACTAAACGAAATGCGAATTTTCGGCGGACTCATCTCATCTCAGTCGCGAAAATATAAATAGGGAATAGACATTTTAGCATACAAATTCACAATAACACATACAAATTAAGCATAAAAAAGTTAATTATTACATCTTGTTGCGTGCTTTCAATTACTTGCGGTTATTGGCAAATTGGAAAAGCGACATCGATGCAGCTATATATTCCGCTTCATCGCCGCCATTCTCATTGATGAACTTTTCTGAAAAAAATTTAATACATTTTTAATTGAATGTTAAACTAAGAAAGGATAAGGGGAACTCATCATTTGAAGACTCGAATGCTCCACCGATTAGCGCAGCGGGTCCTGGATTGGATTTTCTTGTTTTACCGCATTGGTTTTATTTAATTTTTTCTTTTAATAATATATTTTAAAAAACGTAAACACGTCACTTAGGATTGAAAAAATTTTATATTTACTACTTCATGTCGTTGGCATTTACATTTCATTTATAAGTTTAAGTTATTTATAAACATTCGCTCTCAAAACTTATTAAAGGTTTATTTGAAAAAACTTTGAATAAGCTATTGTAGCAAACTTAATTTAAGTTATTTTTAAAAACGTTTACTGAAATGCTTGTTGGGATATGTACTTGCTGGGTTTGTTTGCTTTTATTTGTGAACTCTAAATTCACAAATCAATAGATTATGTAAAGTCTGGAAAATGGTTAGGTGGAAAGCGGAAATACGTTGGAGAGTGTTGGAAGTCGAAAGTTTAATTTGCTTCGAGTAGATATTTAAATTAGAGCAGAGCAATAACTTAAAAATTTTAAATAGCGTTTTTTTTTTTAATTTGCACCACTAATCAGAAAGCTGTAATTTTTAAAGTGTGTAAATAGAGGACTCCAATAATTAGTTTTGTAGCCTAAATTTTTCAGCGAAAAAATCTCTGCATTTTTAAAATCATTTTATTTAACTTACGCTACAAAATTAATAAATAAAATTTTAGGCAGCTTAAGAGAAAGTGTTGCGATGACTGCAACTCATCGCCCTCTAAGCAGCAGCGACAATCAGAGTCTGATGTGATGTTTAGTCTCATCGCGTGAAAACATACCCATCGGACAGAGTCCTGCTTATACACTCACCAGAACTGAGAGTTGCTGATTTGTGCGCATAAAAAGTTGCTTTGGTCGCTTATTGTTCACCGGGCAGGTACCATGCCCTGAGTTGACTAGAGGTACATCTGGCCAAAAGCAGTCCGGAAGTACTCAAAGGAAAAACTACTGTAATCTGGAAGACTAAATTTGAGATTGAGAGAGCTACTTACAAAACATCCCTCTAAAAAACCCTCCAGTCAGGCATCCACCCATCTATGTAGAATTTCGCGGGTACCTGCTACCTGCTTCCACTTGGCCACTCACCCCTAGGGGGGAGTTGGGTGAAGAAAGGGCGTGATATCGGAGACCGTATGTTCAGCATGCCGTTGGGTGCCCTAACGGGAGTGGTCCTACGAGCACCTCTGATAACAATGACTGCGACTCGCTCTACACAAGCTAACTTTCTGACTAGTGTAGTCTTCTGTAGTGCATTTGTTTAAAAAATTTTAACGATTAAAGGAACCTTTACAATTTTAGAAATTAGTTTTCTATCATTTAAATTCAAAATTTCAAAATTTTAAACTTAACAAATTAATACCATAATATTTATTTAAGTATGACTAGAAGTCAACCAAAATCGAAAAGGGTGCTTTCAAATTAAAAATTTTACTTTTGAAATTAACGATAACAAACAAATTATTCTCTCAACTTTTTATTTAAAATTTAAAATTTTAGGCTGCTGGTTTGTTAAAAATTTAATCAAGACAAAAACTAAGTTTTTATATTTTCCCTTATATATGTATTTGAGGCTTCTTTAATTTATATTTGTACGGGCTTCTGCACCGAGCTTGCAAAAAGTAGCAAACATTTTCAACAACAGAAAATTTAACCCCCCCCCTCGATTCACATTAACAAAATCAGAAAACTCAATTACATTTCTCTTTGCCACAGGTTCATTTCTATTCCTCACCATAGAAACATCCGGCGATGGAGGCAGCGCAGCTGGCGTTGTCAGTGATCCGAATGCCTGGTCGTACGCGCAAAATGCATACATATCGACACAACAACAACAACAACAACATAGACATACACCAGAGCATGCCAGCGTTGTAGAAGCACAGCCAAAGTTATACAAACCAAGTGAACCGTTATTGGATGTGGCAACCGCAGGAGGAGAAGGAGTGCACTTGCAAGGCGCAGCTGTAGCTGATGGAGGTAAGCCACACAAATACGAAGGCAGCGCCGATAGCAGTGGCAACTTTCACGTGAACACGTCGAATGTGAAGAGGCAGGCTGCGGTGAATGACACAACAGCCGGTGCAGTTGCAATGAGTGTTGCACATGGTGATGTGACTGCACAGCCGGAAAATCCGGAAACATACATTGACAACAGGCACGCCAACAAGTTGCGGCAGCAGCAGCCAAATGACGTTGCCACTTATACAACGCTGCAAAGACAAGCGAAGGCAGTGGAGGCGCAAGCCTTTAGACGAGCTGCTGTTAATGCCATTGATGCTGCCATTGGCAGTGACATTAACGGTGCTGTTGATGAAGTTGATGTCGGTGGGGTCGTTGGTGTTGCGATGGCTGAGGGGGAGGCTGGCGATGGTGATATGGCGAGTGCTGCGGCTGGTACTGGTGGCGCTTGGGGCGGTGAAAATGTGGCATTGCAGCGTACTGTGGAGAATATTTGGGATATAACGGTTTCATTAAATATACTCTACAAGGAGAATTGGACCAAGTGAGTAATAATTAACAATAATAATGAAAGTGCGTGAATTGCTCATGAAATTTGAGGCTGGCGATGTATAAATGTGTAGGTACATATTGGTTGAAACCCCATTTTGGTAGTGAGGATTTCATTTTAAAAATAGTTGTCGTTGAAATTTTTATATCTAAACCAAATTAAGAAATGGCAAAAAGGAAAGTTTGCATAGCCGATAAAAAATTTTTTTAAGCCATATTTTTAAATCAAAAAATTTATAGCTAAATTTTTTATGTACAATTTAAATTTTTATATTAAAAATTGTATATACGTTTGTAAAGAATTGTTTTCTTATTTTTTTTTATTTAAAAACGGTAAGTTTAAATTTTTTATTTTCCTTTTCAACTTGCTAAATAAAAAAAAATGCTTAATCGAAATTAAAATCCTTTATTATTATTTTTTTTCAAAGTTTTTATTTAAAAATATGTAAAAGAAAAATAAATCCTGAAATTTTTAACTTATGTATATTTAAATTTAAAAAAATTATTCATACAAAATTTAAAATTTTCATTATTAATATTAAAATATATTTTAAATTTTCTTATTTATTACTCATTCAGAAATTTTTCATTATTTAAATTTAATTAAACAATTTTAGTTTTTAAATTAACAAAAATATTTTATTCATAATTGCTTCAAAAGTTTCTAATTTACAGAAAAA